TTGAATTTAAGAAAATTTCCTTAAAAATTATATAAGTTATGAAATAAGTAAATGAATTTCATTATTTTTAACCGACTTCCAAATAAAAAAAAATTTTACAAAATAAAAAAACCGCCTTCAAAAAAAGTCAAGCAATAAAAGTTCCTACACTAAAAAGTAAAAAATAACAATTTGAATTACTGTAAAAAAACTTAATTTATAGGTAAACTTATTTGACATTAATATTTTGCAAATATTCAAAATTTATTACTTATTTTTGGAGTCGGTGCCAGCATTTTGATGTTGAAACTTAATGTTAGTTAGGTTTTTAATATCCGGTGCCATTTTTCGTACATAATGCTTAAACATTTTCAATGTACTTAAAATGTTTTTGTAAGTACATATTTTTTATTAAAAAAAATGTGCAAATCGGACATTTTTTGTAGAGAAGTCTAATCTGTATTTATGTCTTAATTAATATACCTATATTTGAGTATGCAAATAGGTATTAAGTAGTTTTATAATTAAGTAAGAGGTAGTTTTTCAAGGGATTGTTGCCCATTTGTATTTCCTTGCATGGGCTGGCACCGACTCCAAAAATAAGTAATAAATTTTGAATATTTGCAAAATATTAATGTCAAATAAGTTTACCTATAAATTAAGTTTTTTTACAGTAATTCAAATTGTTATTTTTTACTTTTTAGTGTAGGAACTTTTATTGCTTGACTTTTTTTGAAGGCGGTTTTTTTATTTTGTAAAATTTTTTTTTATTTGTAGCCGTTTAGTGTTTTTTTTTTTTATTATAATGTGTTATGGCAAAGAAGTCAATATCGTTCCTACATTTCTTTTGAAAAAGTTACCAATGTCATACTTATACGTAGAAATACATATCATAGTACATTGTTACTGTGTAATCGTTTTGATCTCGAGGAGAGATGATATGATGCATGAGATACTTATGACTTATAGTTAAAATAAAATAATAATCTTATCATAAATTCATATTAGTTCTCGCCAAATAACAAAAAACTAGATATTTTCATCAACAGACAGATAAAGTTCAAAGATACCAAATGCAATCTAATTTAGTATCTATGATTAAATACATTCGTACATAGAAAAAAGACCGATGCAATTATTGTTTTGTATCAATTGTAACCCATTAAATGAAGAATACTATTTTGTTATTACTAAGAACATTCATATATAGACAAGTTGGTAAAAATATAAAAGACCATCGCTATTGTAAATATACATTTATGACTCATTCAATGTATGAACCTTTTTTAAGTAAGTATTATCTACATATGTGCACACAAAAGAAACACAATTATTGTTTTGTACGACGCAATTATTGTTTTGTAACCCATTTAAAACGACTGTTTTGTTAAAAATGCCAATTAATTCTCTTAGCCTATTACCAGGAAAACGATAAGAACACAATGACGCATTTCACCACTAATGTGTAAACGCAGTCCACGTGGACTAATGCAAAATAGCCAATACTAGGCCAAACTCCGCCCCCAAAGGTGTGCGGTCCCGCTCTAGAACCTTTCGGCCCCATCGGCCATCTGTTCTACGAGCAATGTGCCGTGCCCACTGTCACTTAAGTTTGGCATTTCTTCGGGCTATGTCGGTGACGCTGGTTCTTCTGCGGATTTCTTCATTTCTGATTCGAACATGCACGGAAACTATGAGCATAGCCCTTTCCATTGCTCTTGACAGCTCTAATAAGCTTACACAATACTAGGCCCCATGCCAACCTTCCAGCTTCATCATCACATCAGTTCAATAGTACCTTACAGCCAAAGTGCATCTTATAACAATTCTAACAAGCCCAAACACGGCTAGGATATATTAATTAGGTACGCAGTTCCAGTGCCTACCTTCCAGCTCCATAATCATCATTAAATCAGTTCGATGATAACATTTCCAACATAATTATTTAAGATCATTGGTTTACAGTGCATTTTCATAGTTGCTGAACTACCTTGATTGTGATATCTATGCGAGTGTCAAGTTTCATCATCCATTTCTGATCTTCTTCACCAGTTCCACCTCATCAAACATTACTTTTTGACTGTAAATGCTTGAGTGCTCTATGAAAATATTAAAATTACTATATAGTTGCCTATAATATTTGAGGAGTTCCCTCGATTTCTCATGGATCCCATCATCAAAACTTGATTTTGAAAAGAATGGGACCAATCTGGAAGCATATCCTTTCAATCATAAAAAAAATTTTGCAAATCCGTCCATAAACGACGGAGTTCTGAGGTAACAAACATAAAAAAAAAAAATAAAAAAAAAAAAAAAAAAAAAATACAATCGAATTGAGAACCTCCTCCTTTTTTTGAAGTCGGTTAAAAAAGGAGGAGGTTCTCAATTCGACCGTATATATGCTTTTTTTTATGTTTGTTCGCCGATATCTCCGATATTTATGAACCGATTTTGATAATTCTTTTTTTATTGGAATGGAGATAGTTCCAGAATGGTCCCATGAAAAGTAAAACCAGGATTTGATGATGGAAGACCAGAGAAATCGAGGGGAACTTTAAAAAATTGTAGGGGCGAGTGGTGCTTTTGCATATGATTTCAGTAGGCTTTTGACAATTTTATAACTTGCCGATGTTCGAACCCGACCTGATGATGGAGCCGGAAGACAGTCGAGGGATCTCCTTGACTATTTGGAGTAGTTGCCTTGTGTTTGGGCTTGAATGATTCGTATTGGTGAGTACTTTGCACCAAGATTGGTCGTCACTGTCATTAAGGGTCTGATTATGAGAACGATGGACAGCTAAGGGAACTCCTGAACGGTTTACCGTAACTACCTCGTGTTTGGACTTAATTCATTTATATCGATGAAAACTTTCCACCTTAATGGATTACAATGAAGTTAGGCAGTAAATTGTGATGATGGATCCGGAAGACCGTCGTGGGATCTCGTTGAATATTTGGAGTAGTTGCCTTGTGTTTAGGCTTGGATGATTCGTATTGGTGAGTACTTTGCACCAAGATTGGTCGTCACTGTCATTAAGGGTCTGATTATGAGAACGATGGACAGCTAAGGGAACTCCTGAACGGTTTACCGTAACTACCTCGTGTTTGGACTTAATTCATTTATATCGATGAAAACTTTCCACCTTAATGGATTACAATGAAGTTAGGCAGTAAATTGTGATGATGGATCCGGAAGACCGTCGTGGGATCTCGTTGAATATTTGGAGTAGTTGCCTTGTGTTTAGGCTTGGATGATTCGTATTGGTGAGTACTTTGCACCAAGATTGGTCGTCACTGTCATTAAGGGTCTGATTATGAGAACGATGGACAGCTCAGGGAACTCCTGAACGGTTTACCGTAACTACCTCGTGTTTGGACTTAATTCATTAATATCGATGAAAACTTTCCACCTTTATGGATTACAATGAAGTTACGCAGTAAATTGTGATGATGGAGCCGGAAGACCGTCGTGGGATCTCGTTGACTATTTGGAGTAATAATAATGTGTTTGGACTTCATTCATTTATATTGTTGAGAACTTTGCACCTATATAGATTATGTACAATGAAGGCCTGCAGTATATATATGGAGGTCATTGACATTTGAGGGAATTTCTCAACGATCTACGGCACTGAAAGCTGACTAACTCAGGACTGCCATTACCGTGATTTTCGGTCTCAAGTAGCCGTCGTCTTCTATTTTGAGAAGCATCCTAGTTTTCTCTGCCTATCACTTAAAATGGTGAAATAAAATAATTTTTAACAAAAAAAAAACCGGCTTCAAAACGTAAACTAAAAAGCAAAAAATAAATTTACTTTGTTTAAAATAATACATATTTTCATTTAGTTAAATATAAAATATTATTTAATAACTATTTTATAATTTTGAAGTCGGTGCCAAGTAAATACTACATACCAAACAATAAGAGTATTAGAAAAGTATATTGAATACTACTAATCATCAAACTAGCAAGAGGTATGTAGGTAATACCTTAACACTATTATTCTTTTACTTGGCACCGACTTTAAGATTATAAAATAGTTATTAAATATTATTTTATATTTAACTAAATGAAAATATGTATTATTTTAAACAAAGTAAATTTATTTTTTGCTTTTTAGTTTACGTTTTGAAGTCGGTTTTTTTTTGTTAAAAATTATTTTATGTAACATTTATATTTGAACTGAATAAATATTTTTGGTTTAAAATCTAAAAATACAATAATTTAACGATAAGCTGCATTTTTTAATTTTTGATCATCTGACGCCGAACTTTGTCTGACGACCTCATACAAAATGTTTAATAAAACATATTTTTACTTACTTCCATGAGACAATCACTATTAGCTATGTGCAAAGCGAGTAGTGGCGGACAGATACGACCGCAGCGCACAACATGGCAGAAATTGGAAACAAATGCGGACGATTCGTTCGTTCGATCGTTTTTTATTATTATACTCATTTTATATTACAGTAAAACTATTGAATAAATTGCACTTAAATAATTTCAACAATACTATTTTAATCTTTGGTTTTATTTATATTTGCAAAGAAATTTATAATTTTTACATCGTTATTATTTGACAGCTTCCGCAAATGTTGCAAGCGTTACGCGTCGCAACCGTCGGGCACATAGCCAATAGACGAAGACTCTATGTATAAGAGATATATCTACATAAAGAGTATACATGTGTGTAATTCATTCTCTTACATGCGTAATTATCGGGTTTTGTTATCCCTAATTTTTGTTTACCACTTAATTTGTCATGCGCTCCAGAATGTTTGTAAACGAAACCTTTTTGAGTCATTCCAGTTCCCCGAAAAGCCAAGATTACAAGAGTATTATGTTATTAAACAAGCAATACAAAATGAACAACACTTTATCCAATGTTACAGTTGAACCGCAATTTTGTACCCGTTTTTTGAACTTTATTTCATGTTTACTTTCATCAAAGCGGAAATATTTATTTGAAATTTACACATATGGATGAGGGTTTAAGGTTGTAATTTGTTTGTAAACAGATATGCCAGAAGCAAAGATTCACCTTGGGGCTAAGATGAACCCGAATGACATTGAGGAGGGTGATGACGTGTACTTCGGGTGTAAGGTGGATGCCAATCCGCCTGCCTACAAAGTTGTCTGGGAACATAATGTGAGTAATGGTTTTTTTTTTATTTATGTATATTATATATAGTTTTTATTTCATCATAGAATCGTCCATAAAACCAAGTTTTTGTAACTTGCCGTTCTTCGGCACGACCGGAGTGATGGCCTCGCAGAACACCAGCGTGAAACAACCACAGCGTTGTGTTTCGCCGTGTGATTGAGGTTACCGGAGGCCCCATCCTTCGCCTTCCCCATTAATCTCAAAACCCTAATCCCCACAAGGATGGGAACTCATTAGTAGGTTTTCCGTTGTTGTGGGTGTCCATGGGCGGCGCTTGTTGCTTACCATCAGGTAATCCGTACGCTCGTTTGCCGTCCTATCACATAAAAAAACGTATGTGTAAAAATCGAAAAGAAATCAATTCCCTCTATAATTTAATTTTGTTTCAAAACTGTTTAGTAAGTACATCGCCAAAGGTACAGTTGAGTGAAAAATAAATGAGAGAACGCAAGAAAACCAACTGGCTAGTTGCAGCGAAATCTATTTTGATAGCAATCGGAGTTAGGGAATAAGACTTCCGATCCTACGTGATTCCCACGAGACTAGCACATGACACAATTGGACGTAGCGGACTTTGCCAACAAACGTAGTACTGTTACTACCAAAAGTTATTGGCCAAAGTGCCTCTGAACCGAATATGTTACCGTAGACACACGTAAAGGCATTGCAAGTTGGTAGAATATAAAATTACTCTACAGTGTGTTACTTAGAGCAAATAAAAATTTGAAGTCGTTTTTCAATTTTATTTGAAGTTACGAATAAAAAAGCAACCGATTTGAATAAAATATCTAAAAATGTTACACTACTAAAATATTAATTTTAGAAATGTTTCTACTTTATTCTAAAGTTATGACCCGCCCTATCTTCTCACGGATGCAATGCTTTTACAATTTTTTCTCCTCCACTATTTAATGAATGCTGTTATGAAAAACAATTTCCTCTTCAATCACTATCTATTAAAATTACGCAACAAAATCCGTGGCGCAATTTTAATGATTTAAGCACATAAAGGGAAGGCACAGAGAAAATGACTTTGTTTTATACAATTTAGTGATAAATAAAGTACTTTACATTTCGATACATTTATAAGGCATTAAAAAAATCTTTTTTAAAAATGTTTCGCTGCCGACAGTACCTTCTAAAATGTCAGCAGAAAATAAGACCACCATTCTGCATTGCTCCGATTTCGGCTTATATCTAAAAATACAAGCCTTTACATACTGTTAATTTCAATTAAAATAATATTCATTATTAATTTACTGAGCTTCCCTATTTAATATTCTATTATTATAATAAGCATCTAATTTGAATTGTGGTATTGTGGGGCATTGTTGCAAATTTTCAATACACGAATTATGCACATTATGAATCAAATTTATTATTAGTTTGAACCACCTATTTAGTATATTTTATCGGTAGTAGGAGAATGTCACTTCTGATTTCATGTGATGTTGTAGGCAATATATGTATTGAGCAGGAAAGCAATACCCCGCCTCTTAAGGCGAGAGAGAGAGAGAGAGAGAGACAGTGTCAGAATCTTACTGACTCCGTTCCCTTTCCTGCTCAGAGCCTATAGTTCATTCCATATAGAGACAACAATTTGACAACAGCAAATGTCAAACTACAAAATAATGTGGCCAGATTTTTTAACATAGTGATAGACTCGAGTACCTACGATGTTTTAAAATACCGATACCGTTTTTTTATTCACAAAAAAAAAAGTTGCTGTCATGTTTTTATAGTATAATTGTACCTAGTTATTAATATATGAAGCGAAAAAAGGACTTGAAGATCATTACAAATAAAATGAACTCGGAGCAATATGAAGAGATCAGAGATCGGATGGGAGCGATATTACAATCTGACTGACAGACATTATATTTATAATTATAGAAACCAATACCAACGTAATTCTAGGCTTAAATTATGTTTGACATTCCATCTGTCAAATTGCTGTGAGGAAATGCCAAAGCTGACCATAGTTTCTTGTAAAATAATTATATCATATTAATGCTAATAGTTAATAGTATTACAAATGATTTTCGGTCTTTCGGTTAATACCAGTCACGGGATTTCACTATTTATGAAATGGAAAAAACCTCGACTGAACATCAGCCCTATAGGGCTCCGTCTAGCGTCTGTAGTGGTATATTATCTCTTTGAGGCGCGCGCGAACTACCGAAAGTGTTGTTTAATGATTATGTATAGTCATTCTTACAAATAAACTTACTTAATATTTTAATAACGAACTCTAACACTTTGCAGCAATGTATTTCTTATCGATAAATGTAGATAGAATTGAACTGTGTAGGCGTAATAAATACTCGTGCCAAAAGCAATGATATGGTCAATTTTAGTTAGTTTGTTTATTAATTTTGTCATATATCCAATATTTTCCTAATTACTTTTAAGACTTAAATCTAATAAAAGAACAAAATCCTCGTTCTTATAAAAAATACTCTATAAAATAAATTGAATATTGCTTGCATTGCTAATAAATTTAATATACAGGATGGATTATTGAAAGGTCAATTTTTTACATGGTGTTTCGAAAACCCACATGTTCGTGTATTGTGTAGATCTTTTTGAACGTAATTGTACAACGTGTATCAATTTACATCCCGCATGGCAATCGGGATTAATGTCATGATAATGTCATTTTACCAGAGAGGCTTAATGATGGCCGCGTATCGGTATTACATTTGGTTGAACCAATAAAGGTAATCAAATTAGTTGTTTATTTACAGGGATTATGGATTTGTAAACGGCATGTCAGTTAATTTTGAATATTATTCTGTGTGGTTTTATTTTGTAGAGATGGTTGGAATGGAAATAATTTATAATGCAATTATTGTTAGAGATAGCTAATACTGTAAGTAACGTATTTTGTGATAGATCTTACTGTTATTTGTTTTTTTTTATAATTTTGCGATATTTTAATTTGTCACTTACCTAACTAAGTAAAATTTGGATCCTTTTAATATACCTAAAAAATAAAAGCAAAATCAATGAAAGAATTATTGATTTTTAGATCTACGGTATACCATTGTAAGTAATTTTCAGGAAAAAAGATTTCTTTACATTCGATTCTAATAAAAAATTAGAAACCCTAAAAAATTCTCAAATTGTTTTGTTGTCAAGAATCCAATGTCGATTATAATTACATTATAACAAGTACAACTTAATAAAAAGCTTACAAAATATGGGAGTATGTTATTAAACTTGTAAAATCGAATAAATAAATAAAAACAAACAAATAAAATAATTAGGTATAAATAACTATCAATATAAATAAACTGTAAAATAAAATAAAAAATATTGTAAATAAATGTAGATAGCGGTGAAATTGCACACTGTGGTGTTCCTTCATTAAACTCTCAATCGTGACAATTCGAGACATAAAATAGAAGAACAATAAATATGTGCACGAACGCCGATGTTCGTTTGGGGTTTGGTGAATTAATAAATAAATAAAAACAAAACTCTCATTATTTATTTATTTATACTTCATGCACGATTTGTATGTACATAAGGCGGACTTAATGCATTGAGCATTCTCTACCAGTCGACCTTTGGGTGATGCAGAGAATCCAGTAGTAGATGCAAGAAGCAAGCGAAATAGAATAGTATAACATAGGTTTATATAAACATACATAAAGTACATAGAACTATACTTATATACATATATATATAAAACACATACTACTTAATATATTTACACATATAAATACATACATACATACACAAATGTAGTCATGATCACGATGACTCTCCAACCCTCCTCAGAAGAAGCTCCCGAAATCTGTGCTTGAATGTCAGCCGACCAGTCACAGTCCTGACATCGGGGGGTAGCGCATCCCACGCGAAGAATAGACATTATCTGCTTAGAAAGTCGAACAAAATCTGAAGTAAATAATAGAAAAGAATTATAAGTTTTTTTCGTTCACAGTCCTTAGAATTTATCAATTAATTAAGTTACGTGTCTTATGATTCGAGTAATTTCAATTACCTACCTACAAGTTTGTGATTACCTCAACTTATATAATTATTGAGTGTTCAACTGAATCATTGAGTTGACTTTGTAGACAATTTGGACTTTTATTTCATTGATTTAGAGTTAGTTATAAGTTTTATTACAATGTATTTTGACTCAATTCATTGATAAATGTTGTTTTTACAGTAATATGATTAAAAGACTTGGATCTTGGATACTTGACTTTAATATCACAGTACACAGTCGGGCAGCTCACTGCACCTAAGTTACATTGTCAAAGGCCGAAGATCTCTCGGCCACCTTATTTATAAGTATAATAGTAAAGGGATGACAATGACATTGACAATTCTAATGTGACAATGATTAGTATTACTAATTGGAGATGATTGACCTTTACCTCTTGCCTGAAGACTCATATGGCTACTATCACAAAAAAATATAATATGTGAAATTCCAGACTTTAGTCTACCTTAAGCCTGAGTTATTTGATAATCTATTTAGTAGTTTTAGGTAAAAGTGCAACATTTCATCCAAAATTAATTTTTCTCAAGCTTTTGCGTTTTTAATATTTTATTTAAGTAAATGATATTAGGTCTCGGTTCTGATACTGAGTAAGTTTAAGTTTTTGATTTTAGGTAACTATAGCAATGTAGCGGTATTTTAACTTATTACAATTCATTAGTATTAACATAATATTGACACGAGGGCTTTTAAGGTGTATCTCATTATAAAAAATACAACAATTTATTGCAGGGTGATTTTATTCAATTGTAAAATTCTTAAATTTGTATATCCTTAAGAACCTACCTACCTATTAACATATTATTTAGCTTACGAGGGGGAACAGAGGTACCTATTGATATTTTTCGCATAATTAAAATTTTGAAAGATACTCTTTATTAATTATATTTAAAAAGGGTTCATTTTCGAGAATAGGATACGGTTTGGAAATTGTATATATCCCAAAATAACGACAGTAAAAATAAAAATATATCATGAATTGACATAGAAAATGATAATTTATTTTATAATATTTTAAAACATGGAAAATTATATTGTTATATTTCTTACATTTAAAATGTCATTGCTATTCAAAAAAACATTTTTACAAAAAATAACTAAATTATTTATTATTACGACACTTTTAATAAAAAAAACCTATTTGATTATACATCATACCTCTTCATACCTTTATCAGTAGTAACCGATAACCTTATCATTACCTTATATTTTTAATGTGAATGTCGGCAAACGAGCAGGCGGATTACCTGATGGTAAGCAATCAGCGCCGCCCATGGACACCCGCAACAACAGAGGAGTTACGAGTGCGTTGCCGACCTTTTGGAGATAAGGGATGTGGAAGAGGAAGGATTGGGCCTGCGGTAACCTCACTCACACGGCGAAACGCTGTAGTTGTTTCACGCCGGTTTTCTGTGAGGCCGTGGTATCACTCCGGTCGAGCTGACCCATTCGTGCCGAAGCATGGCACACTTAATAATTAAATTCCAACGTATTTTCAATGATATCAAGTATTAATCCGTAACAATGACTCACTCTAGTGGCACTTGCATCTCCAAATATTCGAGTGTGAATTTATTTGATGACTGTATCAATTACGGGACAGAAAATAATTCATTGAACCGTGAAACGATGGCCCAAAAAAACGTGTATCGTATTTTCGTAATATCCAGTTTTTATACTGATTGGAAATCTGTTCGCTTCACCTTTATTTTGGGGCATTGGCCGAGTATGTTTCCATGTTTTGGGCTAAAAACGACAAGCTACTGCATTTCATTACTTACGGGTCCTTTTTATTGTCATTTTTTAAGTCATGTCATGTGAGTTAGTGTTATTAAATCTCAAATGTTTAAATGCTGTTCTCAGAGATATTATTTACTAAATACTGGATTAAGTGGCGCAAGCGTAGCACCATTTTAAAGCTAAGCCAAAGATGCTTTAAAAACTATCAAATAAATGTATAAACTGGGTCAGACTCACACTAATAAAACCACCCTGTAGCTTTTTCTTAGCCCCGGGCTAAGTCACCATTAAAGTAATTATGGCAGCAACATATTGATGCAAAGTGTCAAGACATATCTCATAAATAAATATGATTACAACAAATATTGGATCCAATATTGTCAACAAACATTCACGTACTTTCTACATTCGACGCAACAAACTTCAAGAAATATTCAACGGAATACTATTCCAAAATAAATGCAATAAATTGTCCACAGGGTGTTCTACTGCAACACAATCCTGCGAACGGTGTTATACTGACGGGAAACACCAACCTGGCACTACGGAACGTGTCCAGACTTCAGGCAGGGCGGTATACGTGCACCGCTTCCAACGTCGAAGGGGACGGCAAGTCTCCATATTTGCATATGCAAGTTGTTTGTAAGTAAATCTAGTATAAACCGCCTGTATAATTAGGTAGATAAGACGCTTTTTGGAGTAATGTGCTTATATATTGGAAGTGACAGATACACAATATTTCAGTTTAAAATAAAAACTTATAAAAATATAACTAAATTCAATTACTCGCTATATCCTAATGCTTCTCCAATAACTAAAAATATATTATGGCAATTTTATTTTTCGTACACTCAATGTAATAAAATTTGGGTGGCGGTTACTTCAAATCGACACAACTTTTTTTCGTACACACTTTATCAACATTGATAAATTTGAATTTAATGTAAAATGTACAATTTTACTGATCAAAATTAAATATTATTATTCCGTTTTCATAATTAGGTACTATACTATATTTTAATTCCATTCCAGATTTGACAATTTCAGTGTTGCAACGTTATGACACGTAATAAATAGTGACGTTGCGAAATTATTCGATATGGAAATCGAATATTTCTGAATCGATTCCTCTTGTTTATAAATTTACTCTCGTAAACTAAGATTATCAGGAAATAAAATATTTCTGAACCGATAATTTAGTTTTGACAATTAATTAACGATCTGAGACTTTTCTTTTGTACCTAATTGTGTGTGAAATAATAAAAAATGTGATCATGAAGGAACATGACAAATAAAACAGAAATTTCATAAATTGTCACCGCCATCGCTAACGCTATCGCTGTTACTTTCTGTAACATTTATTATGAATTGTGTCTGTGATATTTATTGTCAATTAACATATCTAGCTTACTTATTTTTTCCCCTTCTTTGACAACATGGGATACGCATTTAGACCATTCGGTAGCCGTAATTTTTTGAATGCCTTCCTGAAACTGATTCACTTATTGTTTATCGATTTTTGTGTTCATCACTACACTGTTATATGTGGTATAATTATTTCACAAAATGACAGTAGCTCATGTTAAATCAGGAATCGAATTAAAATTCTGACTATAGTGTGTACTACTATTTTAAACACACTAAAATGTAAGAAAAAGGTTATATCCTATTTTGTTTATGCAAAACATGCTCTTATATCAAGGTTTTATGATAAACATCGGAAAATCAACGTAAAACTATTTATAAATAAATTAATCTCAAATTTAGATGAGTTTAAATGCCATAGTATTTTTACTGCAAATATTAGTCTACGTGGGGCGTTGAAGAAACTGGGTTAAGTATATTTTATTACAGCTTCGTTAGGGAATACCGGGATGTAAAAACAACCGGGTAAATGGGTAGGTGGTGCTTGAAACTGATGGATAGAAACTAGTTCTGTACGGTTTTCATTACCATCGTTTTGGAATTTAATCCTCGCAGGTGTCGTTTACTGTTTATCTTGCAAAATTAATTCTATTGACGCGAAAATGAAAAGTTGGATACGCTAACTAAATAATATCATGTAAAAGTACATTTAGTTTACCCCGAATTTTACCAACAACATCGAATTGAATAACGGTATGAATTTTGAATCATTTTTTTTTATAGATTAATCGAGATTATTCTGAGTACCAAAAAACAGACTCTACAGTTAAGCGTGGCTCGTTTTGATTGTTTATTGATTCTGAATGTGTTGATGTCTTTTGGAATATGCAAAGTGTGCATATGAATGCAATAGTTATGGTTAAGTATGGTTACTAAGTCATATACCGACATAATTAGAAGTGGCAAAGAAACTTATGACCCGCGTGATGCATCGCAGTTAACGTAATATGCAACACTGTAGGTATTTCTTATACGTTTAGCGAGTATCTTGACTTTGTGTGCAGTTTAAGCTATATTTTATTTAGTGGAAAATCATCAAATGTTATTGCCCAGTTATGCTATTGCCCAGGGTAAGGCGAGAGGGAGTGTCAGATTCTTACTGACTAAGAACCACCCCGTTTCTTCTCCTGCTTTAGGCCGAGGCCGCGGTGCCTCATTGCGCTTACCCTGTGACCCCGGTTGAATATTAGCCCTATAGGGCCCCGACTGTGGTGGTCTGAAGAAGACCACCACAGTCGGCTTCTTTGAGTTGCTTGCGTAAAGCTGCGCATCATGAGAGTATTATCACTGTGTGTAAGTAAGCCATATCAGGCAACCATTTGAAGGAAGGTTTCATCACCTCTCATCCTAAATGGCCAGTGAGATGCTTTAGTATTGTGGCTAACCATGACTAGCACGATAAAATGACCTGTTTGTTTATGAAAAAAAAACGTATAAGTATATAGGAAAAGTTCCGATTTTTTTCGTCTCATCACAGATAATAGACATAGCCATTACGTTTATGACTGCATCTCGGTCTTTCTATTGTACTAATGACTCCACCCATTACATTACTATTGGTCAACTAGATAATGCTTGCACGGCTTATGGCTGCGCTATAATCATCCCAACCTATGGTTTTACAACAGGTCACAGATAAAAAGGGCGGGGAGTTACAAAAACACAGAGAGTCAATCGGATATTTGCCGTCAATTTTAAATTTCATCAGCGTATAAGTGACTGACACTGCTGAGCAAATGCCTTTTCTCACAAGGAAATGGAATATGCAAAAAGAAATAATGCAAATAGAAGTTTCAGTTCAGTTTAGTTTCAGACACACAATTAGAAATCAACCCGTCAAAGTCCAGTCGGTTTTATCACAGTGTTTTCCGTCATCATAATATGTAATAATTTCAACTAGTATAATGTATAAATCGGAAAAAAATATTTTGCTACTTCCTGATTTAGAATCCCAATAAATTAGAAGCGCCTTCACGACTTTTACATTTCGATGCTATTTAGTAGAAAAATAAATATAATTTAGTTTAAATTTCTTTCAATTTTCTTCTCATAACTTTCTTATTTCTATAACCTTTAAAATATTACAGTTGTCAATTTAATAGTCAAACACCAACTAACAAAATAAAAAACATATTACACTGTACATATTTTACACTGTGACCACATTCGCGTAAATTCCTCGCGAGTCATTCCCATCACACGCAATATTCATTCGGAGTCTCTTTCGAGCTATTTCAGGAGGTTGTTTACTTTATTTTCATTCCTTTTACTTTTGTTTCTCACTAGGGAAAACGTAAAACCTTTTATCGTTACGACGCCCATCAGTCGATTCTCTATTGTTTAAAAGTATATTGTTATATCCATTGGTATGTAGTTCCGCCATTTTGTGCGCAGTATTCGTGAAGGAACGGGTCGTTAAATGTTTCTGTTTATATTAATAAAGTTTTAAAGGTTGTTTTATTTGCCATGCATGGTGTCCTTGTTATTGTATTGTGTTTGTGGAAAATTTTATGGGTTGGTTTGGAGGTGAAATTGGCACCACATGCGAAAGTTTCCTTCGTTATGGAAGAAATTAATATTCGGCCAATTTTTTTGGTAATTTACAAAAATATAATATTGACATGTAGTTGATTAAAAGGGAGGCCTTTGTTAAGCAGGGGATTCGTCTTTCAGCTGATGATGTAGATAAATACCTTGACGATTTTGTTGGCCCCGTGACTTGTAAATATTCAAGGGACTTAAGTTATCTTTAATACATATTAAAACAAAGTACACATTTTATTTCACTTCAATTTTCATTCCTTTACACGTAACCAACAATATTAAATTCCACAAACGTGAATAATTTACGAACGATACATTATTTCATTGTCCTGTCTTCAGCGCTCAATTCGCATATAAATTTCATGTAGGTTACAATGATACTTAAAGTATAATGAAATTGGATTTAAAGTATCAATGAATTGTAAGCCAACACAAGCCTAGATAACAGAAATGGAAACAAAAACAAAAGCCCTGTCAATATGGATGAAATAATAAATTCTCTCCTATGGAAATGGATAATTTTAATTTAAGATTTTAATATGTTCCCAAATTTTCTCTCCATTTTCCAATAGACTGCACTTTTAGTCGGTAACCGGACAAGGGTGGTAATAAATTGATAATAAGGAGAATTTCGAATGCACGACAGAAGATCAATTTGCATTTTCGTTCATATAATTTGGTGATATTCGGGTGCGATGTTAAATTTTGTAGCGAAGGCAAGAAAATTCGTTTAAACTGCTACAGTGAACTGACATACTGATTGATTGATTGACTGATTGGATTTCGTTTTGTTTTTCAACAATCCTCCAGAGTATTATGTGCGTTACGGTTTGTCCTTTTATAAAGGTTCTGTGCTAGAGGGATTTGATAACCTTGCCTGCTGTTTAATTTTATAGCTTTAACTGTATTCTTTTTTGATATTGAAATCCATTAAAACCTACAATAGTATGCCAAATAACCTGAAATCTGATATTGTTGCGAAAGAGTTATCATGTTATTTTTAATATGACGGAGTCCGACTATGTCATAGTGAAAAATAAAAAAAAAAACGAGCAATCAGTGTATTTATATACACACTGATATGAACCCGGCTCGGTGTCACCGGCCTTTTAGGACTTAGAGATTTAAGGATTGATGGAATTGAGTATAGGAGCAGGGTAAAGTTTGGTAACATCACTAGAATTGCAAAAAGTAACGCAAACATTACTTACCGAATCGCTGTCTGTGAGGCGTTCCTTTCATTTTTTCTCTATCTGATACTACATAATTATAGAGTACAAATTTTTATTTTACGACTCGAAGTACCCGTTTGTAGATTAAACGTACATTATGAAAATACTTATCTCTCTCTCTTTTTCATACAGATAGACCATTATGCCAAAGAAAAGAGATGAAGATAATAGGAGCAGCTTTACAAGAGCCTACAACGGTCACATGTGAAGTCGACGCCTTTCCACCACCAGACACCTTTGAGTGGACCCTCAACAACTCAGCGGGTTCCATAAAAGTCGATCCCGTAAGTATAATTAAAAATAAACAGTTTTGTTTGTTTTGTTGCAGTATCATTAGTCCTATATCGTTTAAATAAGAATTCAAAAAAGCATTGTTAAGATAGAATCCTTCAGAATTTAACTAACGTAAAAGGAATTAAAGGTATTATGGGTTTCAAAGAAAAAGCTATAATCTATACTTATATTATAGAGAGGTAAAGTTTGTAAGTTTGTGTGTAGGGAGTAATCTTTGGAACCGCTGGTCGGATTGCCAAAATTCTTTCACTGATAGATAGCTACAATGTTCCTGAGCTCTATAGGCTATAAAACATCACGCTACGATCAAATGGAGCCAAGCAGCGGGTGAAACCGCGTGAGAGTAGCTAGCCTACTAGAATGATCCTTTTATTCATAGTTTTTATAAAACTATAAAACAATACATAAGGTTAAAACTATATATTATATAGTATTCAAATATGCATATATGTTCAAAAAACTTAAAACTCAATTTTATTACTTCTATAACAGTCTATATTGTACCAAAACATCATCCGGAAAATAAGTTCACAAATCCCAGAAACCGCCTGCAAGTACCAATATGCTACATGACACAACCGATATTCCTTATACATAAATCTCTTCACTGCCTCTTGACACAAACGAAAGGCCAAGGAAACAGTGTATTTACAGCCAAAACCACATTCGTAGGAAACATTTAATACGTTACAATAAAAGATAATGATAGCCCCTTTGCTATGATTTATGGTGCAATAGATTTGGAAGCACAAACGATTTTGGGGAGTTACCGGATGGCATTAAAATTGAATAGGGACAACTAACAGGTGCCATGTTGTGCGGTTACGTATGTTTGTTCTTAGAGAATATACCCAAAAAAGATGGGTTTTTTGTGACAAATTTTATCACAATCTTATTGTAATGACTGAGCGTTTATGCTTTGGTGAATTATTTAAAGCATAAGAGTAGTTGTTCTTATATCATACTTTTAACGATATCTAAAATAACTAGGCCTAGATCTCGGATTGGCTTGTTAGATATTTGTTTCATGGGTACTTCGTTTTTCAAATTTAAACAGACTAGCAGAGAAGAAAATTTCAAAGCCTATCACTAAACTTACTCTTAACAAGCTAGACTGGTGATTACAGAAGAGTAAGTGGAACTTAATGTTACTTAGATTTTTTTGAAAATGCGCTCAAAGATATATAGACTTTATGGATCATTTTTCATCAACAAAGAGCTGGATTATCGTATCCATGACGACGTTTCCTCTTTTGAGTACGTAACCAATTAATACTGCAGGGCTCACTTTAGTCTGTAATCAAATTCAGTTCGGATGTGAATAGCTTCTGACGTGAGATAGGGGCCAAGTGACGGATGATAGGATAACTATAGGACCATTGTCCCAGTGCTTTTGATCTCAGTTATCTTTAAACGTTAGAATTTATTTGGTTTAAATTTTATTTGACATTTCCTAAATATAAAAATCAGAAGTTATGGCATAAAACTTAACCGCAATAGATTTATCAAAAACTTTGTCTAAATTTTTCAGGATTTTCAAAAGCAGCTTTCGCAGTAGATGTTAATAGTTTTTTGGAGGTTAACATACAAACTCAATGAACAATTTTAATCAATTATTGTAGAACCATTTTAAGAGAAGACATAAAATTATTGTCCTCCGTCTTTCTAAACTGTTTTGGATAAATGTTTTAAAGATTAAAAACGTTTTCTGGTTTCTGGAAACAGGAAGCTTTAACTATAAATAATGACCGAAGCCAACCAAAAAATAAAACTAAAACCACTAATTCCATCCACAGGATCGTTTCACAGTAGAAGGGAAAGAGGGCAAGTCTCTACTGACGTATACGCCGGTGTCCGATGTCGACTACGGGACGTTATCGTGTCGAGCAACCAACTTGGCTGGCCAGCAAGTGACGCCATGTGTGTACACGCTACTGCCAGCGACGAGGCCAGACCCGCCCACCAATTGTACTGTGTACAATCTCACTCATGATTCGATGGACCTTATGTGCTTACCAGGTAAGTGTATTTTTTATTGAATTTAGCTTCATTTTAGTAGTCCAGTATTTTAAATGGTGAAGATGATTTATGATTTTTACGGAAAAAGGAATGGTGAAGATGATATTTTAATACGGCGGAGAAGAACAAATTATTAGGGGTTATTTTTGGAAGGTAATTTATATTTTTCATAACAATCCTATCATCAGTTACTGTTTTTTGATCCCGGGTCACCACAGGAGTAACAAATGCGTTGCAGACCTTTTGAAGTTTGTTAAAAATTTGAGTATTGGTGATTGGGGTAGAGGAGCGAAACAACTGGACCCCCGGTAACGTCATTCACATAACGAAACACAACAAACCGTGTTCGACGAACGTTTGCCGGTTTTCGGTGAGTCCGTGTTATCACTTCGCTCGAGCTCCATACGTGCGGAAGAATAGCTCCCCATATTTACATGTCTATGTTACGTCATGATGTTAAATTTGCTGTGCAATAAAATCTTATTACAATTGCTATTACTTTAACGCCTTAATGAATAATGCGTGATGATAGTGGTATTATTATTTAAGACAAAATGTGTCAATGCAATGATTTGATATAAAGACAACATAAAAGACACTGAATTGATTCCCGCTCTATTTTGGAAAAAACTATTATAATAGGAAAATTTACATATCTATTTCACTCTACAAAAACAATAGTTGTAGAAAATAAGTTGAAAAAACTCCTGCTTATTCTCGAAACAGAAATCTCAATAGTTTCTAACACGACAGAACACCTAGTTTTGACTATAATCAAATCTGAATAACTAGGTGACTACTTGCTAATACAGTAGACAAAGCATGAATCATGCATGACACAGAGTTTGCCATTTGATTACATTATATGATGTCTGGCTTTGACTTCTTCAATGGATGAGCGTTCACAATTCCAACTGCTGAGCAACTGGTTTCGGGTTCTAGCGATTATTCAGCGAAAGAAAGAAAAAGAAAAATGGCTTTTTGACTAACGCGGATAAACTTACTGATATAGTCGCTATTTGTAACTAAAATGGACCAGTTCGATTCAGTTCTAGAAGTATCCAACCTCTCTCATCTGCCAGCATAATGGAATGGCTTAATGTAGCTGTGTTCTGTCTAAAAATATATTCATCAAGCGAACGCCGGCGTTCGCGCCCGTCTTGTTCGTCTGTTTTGTCTGAAGTTACCTCAATTGAGCTGTTAAAATATAAAGTGTGGAAGATCATCGTTTGAGACGAATGAATGGGCCAAATCTACCGGAGTGTTCCTCCTGGATCTTGCTGATGGACATGAACTCCGCCCTTTGCTTACCATCAGTGATCAAACTGCTTATAAGCTTCACTATTCCATAAAAAAATGCTAAATTTGAGATGTTTATTACAGTAACAGGAAACATGATTACTTATTTTTTACTTTTTTGACTTACTCATGTGATTGAACTAAGAAAAGCTCTAGCTAGTTGGCTGCTCATAAATAAGAGTCCCGTCGTGACTTGAAACTAGTAGAGCGTGTCTCGGATCATTCACGTGACTAAGTCTCACGATAGTTACAATTTAACTTACTTCAAACCAATATTTTAATATAGTAAAGTAAAGTAAAATCAAACGTTAAAACATAACTAGGCTCTCAGGTGGCTCATAATCGAAATATATGCGTAGGAGCAAGTATGTTCGTGCTCTTTATCTTGCTGTAAAACCTCTCGGGACCGATAGGAATCAGTCGATGAGGGATATGATTTCCGATCGGATTTACGGTATTACTGAAGCAGCTTCCTCCAGTTCACTTACATTTTTATTAAAATAGGCACTGTGAGCGATTGGTTTCGCTTCGTATCGATATTTCACGAGAGTAGATAATGTATACGATATGAATTGCTATTCCATGTTTAGTAGGTGGTGTTAAAGAGAAATGTATTTTTCAAAAGGACTATATAATATCGTCCAATGCATACTTTTTCTATAAATTTTGTTTTGAACGAGGGACATATACTAGGAGTTGATTTTAGTTCTCAATTACAAAAACTTCCGTGGCGCAAATATATTTATTTCCCCATACAAATCGCTACAGGTGATCGGTAATCTTGCATGGAGAAGTCATTTTTTTAAGATTTCTATTGATCTTATAAAAAAAGTTGTGTCATTTGAGCAACAGCATCAGGTCCCTGAATATGTCCTTTGTTCAAAATAACATCCTGTATTATAAGCTTACTAACAGTACACACAACCTACATGTAATTAATGGTATACAAACAGCGCTATTAGAACAAATTCAAATTCTTTATTTGCATGTTTAGAAAGGGAATAGTTAAAAAAAAAATGTTTGAGATATAAACATAAAATATACAGGATCTTTTTCGGTTGAAATAGTAAGAAGTAAAGCACCATTGGTGTATAATGTTGAGCTCATAGAGAAAATATGATTGCCTTTTCTTTCTTGTCTATATCTAGCCTTACACTATTATTTTCTCGTGTGTCACACAAATTCAAATCACAACCAGATCAAATATATGTAAGTGTGAGAGAGCCATGCTTCAGCACGAATGGATCGACTCGACCGGAATGATGCCGTGTTGTGTTTCGCCGTGTAAGTAAGGTCAACGAAGGCCCAGTCCTTCCCCTCCCCCGATCCCTCCCCAATCTCTAAACCTCCAAAACCCTTATCCCTATAAGGTCGGCAACGCACTCGTAACTCCTCCGCTGCGGGTGTCCATGGGCGGCGTGATTGCGTAACATCATAAATCCGGTCCTCGAAGTAAAAAACTAACTCTGTAGATTTCTACTACATATTATACTACTGGTATTTAATAAATATAGCAAACATTAAAAAATAGGCTTACAAGCATCAACAAAATGTTCCCTCATACCCTCTCTTTCTAATTACACAAAAGGAGTAAATGAAGACAAGTAATAAATTCCGCTTTAAGCGCTACTTAGTTTCACAAACAAGAAAAAATAAAAATCAGGTTTTTCATACAAAATAGAAGAAAAAATACCAAGATATTTAGCTTCAGATTCAACAGATCCGCTAAGAAGTTTTCAAACAAAAGGGTATGTTTGCGTAACTTCTGCCTTCATTCAGGGATCTGAAACGGCTTACTGCAAATAAAACTTTATTTACAATGCCATTAGATGGATTTTAGAGAAACGATTCATTGCGCGTTAGCGGTAACAATGTTTTAATAGTCTTATTTGAAAACCAATTTTTTTTTCGTTTTTACGTTTCAAGATGTTCTTGTAATTTAATCCTTTTATAATTATAAATATTTTAGGTACTCAATTTTAATCTCATTAATAATTTTATTCTTAGAAATGTTTGTTATTATTTTTAGCAGATTACTAATTTTCGTTTTATTTTAAAAAGCGAAAATGTTTCTTTTTAGCTAATACTTTACCACATCGGTCCGATAGGGCGGATTTTCAGCCAGGGTTGAGAGTAAAGCGCGATTATGTAGTGCATCGAGTTGGTTCGCAGTCAGTAAGACGCGACACCTTCTCTTGCCCTGTAAAATAGATGTGATGATATGTATCATCATCTATTTCACATACCATACCCATCAAAACAAAGCTAAAACTTCTTGATGTCGTCATAATCAGACAGCAAGAAGAAAAAGTAAGTTTAAGTGTGGGAGAGCCATGCATAAGTGTGGGAGAGCCATGCTTTGGTACGAATGGGTCGGGTCGGCCGGAGTGATACCACGGCCTCACAGAAAACCGGCGTGAAACAACCACAACGTTGTGTTTCGCCGTGTGAGTGAGGCTACCGGAGGCCCAATCCTTCCCCTACCCTTCCAATCCCTTCCCAGTCCCAAAATCCCCAAAATCCCAATCCTTAAAAGGTCGGCAACGCACTCGTAACTCCTTCTTTGTTGCGGGTGTCCATGGACGACGCCGATTGCTTACCATCAGGTAATCCGTCTGCTCGTTTGCCGTCCTATCACATAAAAAAAAAGTTAGACTATCAGCTACGAAGTTCTAGTTTCGATATCTTGATCCAGACTACTGCATACATTTTTACCAATTCTAAGTAATTTTTTGCGTTTTTTTGTATCGTCAAAAATATGTTTAGATCATAGATACTTTGATTACACGGTGCTGGCAATAGACTTAACATATAGCTAGCAAAGGAGCAAATGGATGTTAATGTTTTACACAACATTGCCTATAGTATTTAAAACAACGTATGAAAGTACTCATGTGGTATGTACGTAATTGGACGATATGCAGATATCGTCCAAGTCTGCACCCTTCAAACTTGTGCTTGGAGGTACCTGGAAGTGGTAGTAGGCATGGCAGCTGTGCATCCCGAACCAGTCTCTTTCTACTTTCAAAAACTTTTCTGTATGCCTTTATTTTGGTTAAGTATTGGAAAACATTGTATTAAAAATTCACGGTTATTTTGTATTTTATCCGACTTCCATAAACTAAGAAGTTGCTCAGTTTCACTTAAAATAATGTATGTATGAAGATGTATGTGTTGTCGCTCATGGTTGGTTGATGGGGTGGGTTGTTTTAATATGTATGTAAGTGGTCTAATGAAACGTAATGCAAATCCTCGCAGCCAGTAGTCGACCTTAAGCTCCACAAGCACTTTGGTCATCATTAGTTTTACGTAAATATTGGTGAACAAAACTGTACATATCACATATTGAAAACTGAGGTGAAAAAGTACGTTTTTTTTTTGATAATTTTCAGATGGTTTGGAAATTTTAATAATGTCGCCCTAATTCTGTGCTTCTGCTCATTTGAATAATCAATCCTTTAAAAATAAAAAAGTTGGCATGCATTTTGCACAACATTACATAATATATTAATTATTTTAATTTGAATTACGTACCCAATCAATCGTTCTTCCATTTAACCCCGTTTGAGATTGATAAAGTGGGGCAGAAAAAAACAGTTTGGTAGAACAAGTTTCTATGATGCCAGTTTTTCGCACACCTTTGTATACGGTCAGATAGTTTGTAAACAAGGTTATGTCAGGTACAGTGTAAAACAGTGTGT